CCACATCGAATCTACCGAGATCTTGCGTCGTGCTGGTTTGGATGATGTAGAGGACGAATGCCGGCAACGCTATCTGCGGTGGTTTGGTCATGTCAAGCGAGGTGGAAACAGTGCCATAACTTCTCTTGCAGATGTTGAAGTACCTGGCAAACGTCCCAAAGGTCGTCCAAAGAAGTCCTGGTCGCAAAGAATCGAGCAAGACATGAAAGCTTTAAATTTAAATGGAATGGATACAACTGATCGTCTAATTTGGCGCAAAAAAATGATGGCAAAGAAAAAACGTCCCACTTCGGGAAACTTGGTCTTTGGACGCTAAACAAAGATTGATTGAGAAAAGCGAGTTCTTGATAATATATTACAAATTTCACCGATTTATTAGTGTTTATCAACTTATAATCGAATTCTTCAATTTGACTTTTATTAACTTTTATAAATTTTTATCAACAAAATTGAGTCTGTTGAGTCAAAATTTAGTTTAAATTTAAAACAGACAATTTTGTTAATAAAAATTTACTAAGAAAAATTGAAATATTCCAATATAAGTTGATAAACACTAATAAATCGATGGAATTATATATATATATATATATATATATATATATATATATATATATATATACATGTGTATATTATTATTGTTAAGAAAAATTTTTATAGCGCCAATTAAAGCCTTTCAAAGGCACTATCAAAATAATTTAACAAAATTATTACTGTGCGTAATTTTTCTTAATAATAATAATAATATACACATGTATATATATATATAATATATATATATATATATACATACATACATACATGCATCTCAAAAAAATCATTCTGGATTCGCCTTTTAAAACTTGTTCTCTGTACATCATGCCAACACATACTTTTTTTTAAATATGTTGATATGTTCATCTGTTTTGTGACAAGTTTTATTAATCTCTGTCTACGGCTGGGTAAAAGTAACAAAGTATTTTAAGCGTGCTAGAGTTGTACCAATCTTGAAAAAAAAACTGGTTGTGACGGTAATGAGATTGTGAACTATAGACCAATTTCTAATCTGCCGTTTATTTCAAAAATTATGGAACGTGTTGTCTTGAAGTGCCTGCTGAAGTACTTAGATGAAAATAATTTGATGCCAACTCATAAGTCTGGATATCGCAAATACTATTCCACTGAAACTGCTATAATACACGTTTTATCAAATTTATTTGCTGCTGCAGATGATAAAAACATATCAGTTTTATCCTTTTTAGATATGTCATCAGCATTAGATTGTGTTGACTATAATATTCTTCTATCTAGATTATGCTCTACTCATGGTGTCTCTGGTGTTGTTTTGGAATGGTTCTGATCATATCTCATCGACCGTATACAACAGGTTGCGTTTAAAAACTCAGTGTCAGATGTAACATTGGTGTCATCCGGAGTGCCGCAAGGATCTGTTTTGGGGCCCATCCTATTCCTGCTCTACACATCCAACGTAATTAAAATAATCAATTCATATGGATTTGTTTGTCATGCCTTTGCTGATGACATTAAGATATTGGTCACCCGTCCTTCAAACTCGTCTAGAAATGAAATTGATAGATATAATGATTGCATGACAGAGATTGGTCATTTGTTGCTTACAGTTGGAACATGACAACAGTTGATAAAGATGAACATTAAAGCCATCAAAATAGGAAATGTCAATATATCCTTCAGTATAACATCTTCCAATCTTAGGTTTCTTTTTGATAGGAAACTGTCCATGAAGGACTACATCAGAATGATATCTGTCTCTTGCACTAAGAAATCGAGTTAGATTTTGTTAGACCAACAATTGAGGGTTTAGTTCATGCTTTCATATCAACATGGCTGGATTACTGCAATAGCTTGCTTTATGGTCTGACTAAAAGGTCAATTGCGATTCTTCAGTCAGTTCAAAATAGGGCTACAAAACTTGTAGCCGGTAAATTGAAATTTGACCGTGTGATGCCAATTTTGCATGATCTGCCCTGGCTGAAGGTTAAGAAAAGAATTATTTTCAAGATCGCGGTAATCGTATACAGATCGTTAAATGGGATGTCACCAAAATATATTTCAGACAAATTTTCTAAAAAAGAGCTTGCTCCAAGTTCGCATCTACGGTCGGATAATATGAATTTGCTGATGGTTCCGGTAAGACGATTGCGGTTTGCGTCGAGAGATATTGCTGTTGCTGGTTCGACCATCTGGAACAGCCTACCGGCATCAATGAGAAAACCTGGTATTTGTCTTTCTTTGTTCAGAAAAGAATTGAAAACATTTTTATTTTCCGCTTAATTATGTTTATGCTTGTATATATTTAGTTTGTATAGTAACAATTTTGTTTTCTGTATTGCTATGGTGATAATGTGCATGCTTATTTATTCATTTATGACAATTACGCACAGTAATAATTTTGTTAAATTATTTTGATAGTGCCTTTGAAAGGGTTAATGGCGCTATAT